GCTTTAGTTGTTTTTGAAAAACCACATACCTTAACGAATTATGAATTATGTTAATCAGTGCTTGAGAAATTGCAAAAACTACAAATTTTAATAAATTGCTGGACACTTCATCAAACCCGTTAGTACGAGTATGTTTTTTTCATTTTTTGTTATATTTCATTCCTCATTGTCAACAGTATTCAAACAAATGTTCACCTGATTAAACTCTATATCCGAGCTAAAAACTGTTTTATATTGTTTCACTATTATATCAGAAGACCCATTGATCATTGATATAAAGTCACTCGGAGTCTTAATATTGGACTTAAAATCTATATTAAAGTTCCCTGCAATAACTATAATATTATTTGGTTTACTTGAAAGGATATCCAACAGGCACTTTAGTTGATGTAAAAAAGACTTTAGCACCTCCTGCGGGTGGCCTGTACACTACAACTACTGTTATATGTTGTTCTCCCCTTTGCACGCACAACACGTATTCTTTAGCAAGCTGGTTGATATTTATTTTTACCATACTTAGTATATCTGAGCTTGTGTAAATTGGGCAGCCACGGTGCGTATTTTCGTAACTTTTGCAAAAACTTGTGACTAATGTGAATAATTTTATACCATAATTGTGTAATTGTATTTGCCTTTTCCAATGCTCTGAGACACACAATACTTCCAACAGGTGAACGGAATTTCCAATTGACTGAAGATTTCGATTAATAAGACTGAGGTCGTTCTGAATCTCTTTCAACTTTATGGTACACCGTGTGCTAATAAACCGATTTAAAACATTCTAATTTTGTTGATACAGGGTGTCCCAAAAGTGTCTCCCCGACATTAACTTTGTTAAGTAAAAATGGAACACCCTACACATTTCGACATTTTTGGAATCCTTGTCACTTTCTTAAGCAATATCTCAAAAAGTAAGTAAAATTAAAATATAAGACAAATACAAACTTACCTTATTGATGACAAAAAATATGGTAAATTTGTATTTGTCTTATACTTTAATTTTACTTGCTTTTTGAGATATTCGAGGTTTAAGCTATAACCCGTATAAATTCTTGTTGAATTTAAAGCTGCCCATCAGGTCACTTGTTAAAAATATTAGGTCTTTTTTATATAGCAAAAACATGATACTACTTCTTTTACAGATACAATACTCCAGATATACGAATAAAACCTATTGCTCACAGTACATGGTGTCCATTAATAAGTGGAAATTTTGAAAAAATCGACTATAACAGGAGAACGGAATTTCCAATAACATAAATAAATAATTAAATTTCATAGGCTAACTAATCAAGGTAATAAATTTATATTAATAAATCTATAATACAAAAAAACAGAAACAAATTACTAAAAAAAAATTAAATATGGTGATACTGTAATACATTTTCTACATATTGTTCATTCTCTGCACTACACATTGTATAACGCGTCACATTGCTAGAGACCGCATTTCTAACCGCATAACTATTATATAATGCAAGAATCTCGTGTCTAATTTTTTAACCACGAAATTTTTTAAACCGGGAATATCTCAAAAAGTAAGTAAAATTTAAATATGAGATAAATTACAAACTTACGTTTTTTTTCTCTTAAATTTGATATCTCAATAAAAATATAGTGTGTTCCATTTAAAAATCTTGAGATTTTGTTACTTGAATTCGCCAAAACAGCAACACCTAATCGGGACACCCTGTATAAGCTGAGTTGGATCTGTCAAACTTATTAATCATCTCCGTAGCTTGTGGTTAAATTTTCGTTACACTACCTGGATTAATAGTGTCACAACAGAATTTTATATGGAACAATCTAAATATGAAAAAAAACACATAACCTCAATTCCTGGCTAAACTATGCAAAATTTGAATAGGAATTGCTTAAGAAAGTGAACTTTATTTTAAACAAGGATTCCAAAAATGTCGAAATGTACAGGGAGTTCCATTTAAAATTACAAAGTTCATGTCGGGGGGAAACTTTTTGACATCCTGTATCAATAAAATCATACCGTTTTAAATCTTCGGGAGAGTCCAAAAAACTTTTGTTCCAATCTTTTTTTCGTATCTTGAGTTTCCAGATCGTATAATGGATCTTTTTATTTGGCCCACGGTGTACAATAAAATTATTCAGATTCAGTAGGCAGGAAATAGGCCCCGTCGCTGTGCAATTTACACAAGCTCAGACATACTAAGTGTGGTAAGACTAGATATCAACCAACTTGCTAAAGAATACGTGTTGTGCCTGCAAAGGGGATAACAATATGTAACAGTAGTTGCAGTGTACAGACCACCCGCAGGAGATTTTAAGGTTTTTTTTTACATAAACTAGAGTGCCTTTCAAGTAAACCAAATAATATTATTGTTATTGCAGAGAACTTTAATATAGATTTTAAGTCCAATATTAAGACTCTTAGTGACTTTATGTTAATGATTAACGATCAATGTGCTCCAGACTATAGGTAAAACAAGCATATAGGCATATTTGATAATACTGCCCAGAAGTTAGTACTTAAAAATAGACACCAAAAATTTACTTTCATAGAAAAAAGTAATTTTAACGAAAGAAATAAAACCCTAATAAAAAAGATCCTGCGTTTAATCTTCTGCTCGGATCTTTTTTAGCTCGTATGTAGAATTCAATCAGGTGAAAATTTGTTTGAATAAGGTCGAGGATGAGGAATGAAATATAATAAAAAATAAGAAAAAATATACGGGTTTGATGAAGTGTCCAGCAATTAATTAAAATTTGTAGTTTTTGCAATTGCTCTAGCACTGATTAACATAATTCATAATTCGTTAAGGTATGTCGTTTTTCCAAAACAACTAAAGCTTCTGTAGTTATGCCAGTGTGAGTAACATTGTCGAAAATATTTTAACATGTTATGAATGAAAATAATTTATTCAATGAATGTCAATATGGGTATTTACAGGGAAAATCCACATTGCCCTATTTAATTTCGTAACTTGTGTTCTGAATGAGCAGGACTGGGAAAATCTTTATTTAGGTCTCTTTCTTGACCTACCACAAGCATATGATACCTTAGACTACAATATTTTATTCAAGAAACTTAATATGGTATCCGAGTGGTGACACTGGAGAGGATCAAATCATATGTAACAGGTAGAATGCAACAAGTAGCCTGTGTACTGGCGCGGGTAGAATTGTATATAGCAATGCCTCTGTTTCGTTGGGAGTTGTAATTGATCCTATTTTTATTATTTTTATTTTATTAGTAAATAATGATATAAATATGCTAAAGAATACAGCCACGAGCTTTATGAAAACAGTTAAACATTGATTTGTAGTAGCAGTAGTTAATAATAGCAGAACAAATGTAGTACAGTTCAAGACAAACAAGAGCAAAGTATTTGAACCAAGAACGATAAACATCAGTGCCTGCGAAGGAGACCTAAGCAATAAGATCAAATTCTTGAAGATGTTCTTGGACAATATGTTAGCTTGAGTATTTCAAGTTAGTTTTGTTTTGGGTAAATTAAATAACGTATATTAGACGTTTCGGGTTCTATAAAAGTACATACTTATAGAAACTAAAAAGATGTTATATCATGCAAATGTTGAAAGTGACAATAGATATAGAATACTGCTGTATGAAAAGTTTAAACAAGTTAATGTATTTACAGTAACTGCAGTATTCATATAGGAGTGAGTTATGTGCTTTTTAAGAAATAGATTCTTTTTTACTCCTAACAAACCACAATCTACTAATACAACACGCACACAGAATTTTAGTTTTCCCCACTACCTACACACGGGGTACTGAAAAGGGTTCTTATTAATAGTGCATAAAACTTCCCGGAATGGATACAGAAAACTAAAGTTTCCTATCAGTAAATATTGATATAAATATGCTAAAGAACACAGCCATGAGGTTTATGAGAACAGTTGAACATTGATTTGTAGTAGTAGGAGTAGTTAATAATAATAGAACAAATGTAGTACTATTCAAGAGGAACACGAGCAAAATAGTTGAACCAAACACCATAAATATCAATGACTGTGAAGGAGACGTCAGCAATAAGATCAAATTTTTGATTATGTTCTTGGACAATATGTTAACTTGGGAATTTCACGTTAGTTTTATTGTGGGTAAATTGAATAACGTGTGTTACACGTTTCGGGTTCGAAACAACTACATATGTATAGAAACCAAATAGATATTATATCATGCAAATGTTGAAAGTCACACTAGATATGGAATACTGCAGGATGGGGCTGCAGAGGCATTGAAAAAGAATTTATAGCTCAAAAGCGTGCAATCTAAACACTTCTAGATCTAGATGGTAGACAGTCTTGCAGAGGAAAGTTTAAAGAAGTTAATGTCTTAACTGCAGTGTTCATACAGGAGCGTGTCATGTACTTTTTACGAAATAGATCCTTATTTACTCCTAACGAATCCCAAATTATTAATGCAACTCGCACACAGAATTTTAGTTTTCCCCACCATCTACTCACGGGGGACTGAAAAGGGTTCTTAAATTAATTAATTAAAACTGTTAAAATCTTAAGGAAAGGTAGTTTTAATACTCTAGTCCGAATGGAACCATACACTATAGAAGAGTTTTACAATAAGATAAGAAAATTTATATACTTTAAATAAAGATATTTTATGGTTAACTGGTCAAACCAAATTTTCAGCTGATTCTTTCGTGCCAGTTTAGCCTTCCTAGCGTTCTCAAAAAAGTTTAACCACAAACGCACGCTTTCGAGTACACAGAAAGGGGCAAGCTTGTTCGTCACGCAGTCTCATTGTCGTATACTGGAAAAACGCAAAGGAGATAAACATCAGCTTTTAAGCACTATCCAATTTGACCCAACCCCTCAAAAAAAGACCAACCTCAACTAGAAGGGCTCCATCCATCAACCTCACCTCGGTAGTTGCTGTGTTGCAAATGAAAAGCGTCGGCGTCGACGGTCGGGCTGTGTCGTTAGACCGATCCCGACGTTAACCCTATTCGCAGTATGAAATTTTAGTTGTGCGCGACGCTTTGAATCGGACGCAGGCATTTTGCTACCTTCCCGATCGAAGTACGGCGCGTTGTTGGTAGAAATCGACGCGGTAATAGTAATTTCATAAATTATAAGTGCTTGATTTTTTATTTTCTACAGTTTCAAGTTATATTTTTGTGGCGTTTGTGGATTGCTGAAATATCCGAACTGAATGCCATCATCGAAATTTAATTTTTCTGGGACGCTGTTTTTACAGGTTTGTTTCGCATGTTTGCTGTTAGCGTTTTAAGGAGTAAATTACCTACAATTATTGACGACGCTTTTAGACACACCAGTCCCTTTTCGAGCGAAAAAACTGCAGTCCCGCGTTTTCTAATAAAAACCACTGCTACTGCTAACTTCATATGTAAATTAGCACTACCACATTTAAAATTCCGTTTATAGGTTAGGTTTTCCGTAAATATTGCCTAAAATATTTATAACGCATATCAAGAGGAAAACCACTTAAGGAGTATTTACTTTCCTATGAGGAAGCACGAATGAATGCTGGGAAATACGATGAATATATGAGGAAATCCAAAGTAATCTGCAAACAAGGCAAACTGACGTACTCTGCACCGACCGATCGGGAAGATACCCAAGCTTGATATGGTTTTATTTCTATTTTTTTTTTTTAAATCACTAGAAAACATGGCCAATACTTCAATATGGGTCGCACCTACTCTTGTAATTGCTATCTTGAAAATAAATAAGGACTAAAAGTTCAGATTTTCACGAAATTATATATTTTTACATGACAATTGTTTCGACAACACCGTGTCTTTATCAAATGTCACATGCCAGTCATGCTGTCAACACCTTTTATACATTTATTGTAATTAGTGATTAGTTGGGGCTATGGTGTTGTGTTGAAGACATTGTAGGGCATTTTGCTGTTCGGTTTTTCCGGATCGTACCAGTAGACTTCTTGTGTTAAATCACACAGCAAATTATAGCTTGCAAAAAAGAGATGTTTTGAGTTTGTCAGATTGATCTTTAGGCTCTTTGTCACAATAAATTGAGAATTTATAGCACCATCCATTATTGCCACATAAAGTCCACAGTTTGAATCCGAATCTTTTCCGTTTTGCTATTATAATATATTTTATTGCGTGATAGCAAGTACTACGTTTAGACATGCTTCGCCGTTTTGAAATATTTAATATTATCATTTATTTTTTCAAAATAAATAAGAACTAAAAGTTCAGATTTTCACGAAATTATATATTTTGACATGACAATTGTTTCGACAACACCGTGTCTTTATCAAATGTAATAATTACAAACTCCCTGAAATAATGACCATAAAACCTTAATTAATGTTGTTGCGAGAATTGAAGTTACTCCACACGAAATGGATGAAGGAAAAACGAAGACACGAGTATAGAAAACGACATTCAAACAACATTTATGTAAAGGTAATAATTTCTGAATTGTCTCATATATTTATTTCCATAGAATTTGACACATTTGATTATAAAGTTCGAACAAACATTTCTAATTCAAAAATAGCTGAAAGCAAGCCAGTTATTACAAAGTATACCGTATAAAGGTTTCAACTTTAACTTACAACACTCGTACATTAATAGAGAATTAGACTGTTTAGGGATCGATTGTGAATTAGCAATTAAGGACATCAACGATTCTAATTTAAACAAACATGTAATAGCGAATATAATAAACTCTCAATTAATAGATAACAACAAACACAAGAGAACTTGTAAAAACTATCAAAAACAAAGCTTGTGAAAATAATATAATATTTACACGTGCAGATAAAGGGAAGACAGTCATAGCTATCGATCTCCCAGAATATATTTCAAAAACCAACAATTTTCTTAAACCAGAACTTTTCCAATGTATATATAACACGGTCCTACCGAGTTATATCAAAGACAAGTCAAGGAAGTAATTACTAACTCCACACTATTTAGTGACTAAGACAAATATGTTTTAACAATTTTGATGCCACGACCGCCGAAATTATATTCTTTAGTTAAATTTCATAAACAAGATTTGCCCATTATTTTTTGAACCGGGAGCTAAATTAATCCAGTTTCTTTTCACCCAATGTTACCACTGTTTCCACTGCCCCACTCACACAAAAATAAACAGGGATACTTCGTATATCCTGACTGCTGACTTAGTAGAACTCCCACAATTTTAAAGTCACCACAAATCATTAACCTATTGTCCTTGAATTTGATTTTCATTTGCATAGGACGAGTAACTGGTGCAGAAGCGTTGTGCAAAAGAACAGCTTCAAGGCTTTTCTTGAATTAGTCAATAAAAAGCCTTCAGTCTTCAGAATTGTGGTATGTATGTTTCTTTATTAGATTTGGAATATTGGTGCAATAAACAAGTGTTCAAAATAGCCTATATATTCTTCTCGCGCTTCCTGAAATATGCAATTTTAACGTCTTCTGACAGTAAATTTTTATTTCGAAGTCTTGATGCTAAAATTTAAGAAAGACCCTTAGGTAAACCTAAGTCTCTCACGAAGTCATTCAGTTCTGATTGCGAAAATAACTCTGATTGCAACAATCGCGGGTCTCTTCATCTATTTCAGTTTAGAAAAACTGGTGGTATCTGTCTCGATTCTCGGGAATTGGAACATATGGGTCATGATGTTCGGATAAACAATGTTTTTTTTGGTACTATATAAACGAATATTGCACATCTCTCTCCATCATAGGTATTCACTATCATCTGGTAACTATTTCTCGTAATGGTGGTAATGCTTTCTGAATACCTAAGTTTATTGGAAATAGATGAGGGTGTTTTTTTTCTAGTGAAAAAGTGTAAGCACCCCAAAACAACCAAAATAAAGCCTACATGATAACCTGCGGAGAAGTTATAAAATGCCCTCATGATTATTTTTTGAGTCTGCTAAGGTAAAAGTTTCTGGTTGTTTCCGTGGAAAGCTGATCCCAGAGCCTACACAACAGTCCACAGCATTCACTTATTTGTTCAATTCATGATACAAAGGGAAATAGGACTGGACTCAGTGTAGAACCCCGCGGGATCCCCTTGTATTGTCTGTTCAAATTGAGAGAACACCTTTTCAGAATATGCAAACAATTTGTTGTCTACCAGTTAGATCGGATTATACAATGTGCCAAGAAACGCCTCTTGTGCCGTACTGCTCTAGCTGAATACTGTGAATATACATGTTAACATAATGGGGACGGCGTAACGGTTTCAACCCTAAATAAAACTCTCTCCATAACCCAAAGCACTTTTGTATCGGAACACCTATTACATTATTGGTTGCTTTAGGCTCTTCGGTGTAAGTCGTACTGCTGTTTGTTCGTTCGTAGCTGGAACAGCATGCCGCGCGTCCGTCCTGACTAAGCATACGTGCCTTTTGGCGGCCATTCAAAAGATATCGCTAACATACATATCAAAATTATAATAAATGTTAGAAGGAAAACTTTTTAAAATTGTATTAGTGAAGGCTTGCACTTTCATGTCTCAGAACACAAAAATTATGTTCTCAGCAAACTTGCTGCAATCTTTATGTGAATAGAAATTAAAAACCTATTTAATTTATTATTTATTTTAATACTAATAATAATAATAATAATATTTTAAAATCCGGGATTTTAGCAGAATTGTAATGTTTTTCCCAATTTTTTTTTGAAAAATATACGGTATTAAGTATTAGGTATTGGATTTCAAGAAAAATCCTTGCACATGTCCATCATAAGATTTTCTTGCACATTTATTGCACTAACCAGAAAATATATTCTTTGGATTCTATGTTCCTTTTTTACATTGGCCACCATTTTCTGAAATTTTGGAATTCTGTGTCAAATTTCATGTAACACACTTCTTACTTTACTTACTTATGAGCAAAACAATAAAAAACAGAAATTTCATTTTGAAATGAAGATTGAGGACCAGTAAAGTACTTAAATTGTCACAGTTACATTTCTGCCAGTGAAGAAGGTGAATGTGGAGACAAAAAGAAGTAATTTGTTTAATTCAAAATATCCAGAAAGATCCATTACAAGATCCAAACTGAGTAAAATTGAGAAGAAATTTTTGACAATAGGCCATTGTTTTATTATTATATTTTTATCGCTATTGCTGCAGAAGCTTGTAATTTTCGAATGCATTTTAAAAATTACGAGCTATCTCGTCTTCGATTGTTACCTAATTGCTTTCTTGTATTCAATGAATACATTTTTTAAAAGTGAAAGTTTTAACTTCGGCTTGAAGCTAGAGGGAAGCCACTTTCCAAAGTTTATTTATTTGAATATTCCGCCATATTTCACTGTACTCTAATTACTTTCTTTTCGATATAAATTTAGTAAAATAAAATATGATACCTCGATTTCATATCCGTTATTCCAATGGAGACAATAACTACGCTGAGTTGTTTTAACATGCGTCCACAAAAGTGAAACAGCGCAAAACAACTTAAAGCAAGCAATTTCATAATACTGTTTCATGAAATTTACAATAACATTTTTTATCTACAACCATTTAATAATAGACGCATAATACTTCTGACAGTGAGAGTATTATGCTACGCATAATACAACAAGTGTAATTATATCATAAAAAAACAAGTGTAATTATATCATAAAACAACAAGTGTAATAAAATATTCTGGAATTCTTAATAATCCGGGCTTCAATTAATCGGCGCAGAATTCACACATTTCATTTATTATTTTTATGAAAATTTACTATAAAGTTACCCATATTAAAGTCATACACACGTTACCAATTCAATTCTATTATTCAAAAACAGTTCAAAAAATACAAACCAATATGACAATAATTAAAAAGAATTAGTAGGCCGTGCAGGCTAAATCTGACAGCGCGCAGCGGGTATCCATAGCGACAGCTTACCCGACGCGACGCTCATCGTGAATACAAACATTTTCTTTCATGAAATAATAATTGTAAAGTAAATAATATTCATATAGAGAAGCTTTAAAATTTCGCCTTGCAATTAAAACATAAGATTTAATAAAAATGGATTCTGAAAACGAAGTACTAACACCCCCGGAAATTCGAGCGGCAGCGGAAGCTGCGTCTCTGGATTTACTTCCCAAGAAATCAAGAAACAATTATGAAATTGCCTACAACAATTTCATGGATTGGCGATCAAGAAACAAGGCCACCTCCTTCTCTGAAGATACATTATTAGTGTATTTCAAAGAATTGGCTAAAAAGTATAAGTCGTCCTCCTTGTGGACGTTTTATTCCATGCTGAAAAGCACACTTTATATTAAACACAATGTCAAGATCGACCACTACGCGAAGCTACATGCTTTATTAAAAAGACAATCAGAAGGCTATCAACCCAAAAAATCTAAGGCATTTACCGGACAGGAAATAAATAAATTTATTTATGAAGCTCCTGATACAAAATATTTGGCTACAAAGGTAAGGAATGATAAGACGTTACATACCTACGGTATTTACCAAGAGGTGTTAATTTTTTAGGTTGCATTAATTATGGGAGTGATGGGTGCATGCCGCTCAAATGAACTACATGCAATGAAAATACAACACGTTACATTTTATGAAGGTTGCACTAGAGTAATAGTTCCCGTTACGAAGACCAAGATCCCTAGGAATTTTACTATTACTGAGAAGTTCCATGATATTGTTAAAAAATATGCAAATCTGAGACTGCCAAATGCATCAGATTCTTTTTTTATGAATTTTCAAAATGGAAAATGCACAAAACAAGTTATCGGCATTAACAAGTTTGCCAAAATGGGCAGAGAAATTGCAAGTTTCTTACAAATCAAAAACCCAGAAAGATATACCGGGCACTGTCTACGACGATCTTCAGCCACATTGTATGTCGACGCAGGGGCAAGTATGACAGCTCTGAAGCGCCACGGAGGCTGGAAGTCGGCTTCTGTAGCTGAAGGCTATATTGCAGACTCGCAGAAGAACAAGACCGATGCAGCTACTAAAATATTAAGTCAAATCAACCCTAATTGTAATATTAATAACAGTACTTTTGTTTCTACCCCCTCACAATATCCAGGTATGTCTACTATTACGAGCGAATCTTCTCATAACACTTTTTCGATTAGTAAAGACACCACGGACATTAGTATTGGTACTACACCAACTACGATGAATTTCAATAACTGCCCTAATATAACAATCAATTTTATGAAATAGACAGAGTAATACATAATGATCCTATTAAGCGTCAATTTAAAAATAATTGTGTGCTGAAGTGTAAATGTTAATTAAATATTATTAAACTTATTAAATGTTCAATCCAGGACTTTCATTGAATTTATTCCTTATTACATCACAACTCATAACACATAAACATATAACATAAACAGCATACATAAACAGTAACCAGTGTTGATATTGAGTGAATGGTAGAATCTAAAAATGTATGATATTATGTTCCATTTCATATAAAGCAAGTTAACATCCACTTCCGGCCTAACCGGAAGTGCCACCATCTTGAGAATATTCTAGCTGAATTGCTCTGCCATCAGCATTAGCTTCCTACCGAATTTTCAGGTTTCTCCCATGTATAGTTTTTTTTCACAATAAAATGACACATTTCAATTCCGGTGAGGTACCCTATATAAGTGGATGGTTGTAGATAAAGTATAGTATTTGACTCGAGTATTATGGACCATAATAAACTCAGATGATTATAACACTCGCCGCAAGCGGCTCGTTTTATAAATCATCCTCGTTTATTATGGCCTTCATAATACGCTCGTTAAATAATATACTATTAATTTACCAACTATCATCAAATATTAGACACATAATTATAATAGAAAAATTATACCATAATTATTTAAAAATGATGTTTCAGTGTAAATTCGTAGAAAATTTGTGGAAACAGGGTATATCAAAGATTGACTACGTCCAGGTTGTCGAAAAATAATCAAAACACAACATTAAACATTTTATTAGAAGTTAATAATAATTCCCATCGTGCATCTTCTGAGGTAGCTTTACATATTGATGTTATCCAATGAACAGCTTTGCGTGTATTAAAAGAAAAAAAGTAAGATCCGTACAGGATTACATTACTATGGGAGCTGGATGAAAGTCAATCAATTAGAAATTTTCAATATGTTACCATCTTCCATTACACAAAAGGCCTGGTTCTTCATATTTATTATTGTGTTACATAAGGTCGGCTTCAATTCAAACTTAAGAGGTTATCGGTCACATACTTGTATTTATTAAACTTCCCCTTCTCTTGTGCAGATGCGCGTTAGCCCGAACATAGCCGAATATCATTTATACTGCGCATGCGGACCCCGACCATTGGCGAAGATTTTCAGTTAAAACTAGAA